ATCTTTGAAGATGGAAGGACTATTTGGCTACAAGCGGAAATTAGGGTTTGTTCTTGAGCAAAGACGACGGAGTTTGAGGCTGAGCAACTTGATTTTCTGTTAATATATTTCAATGTATATTCAACATATCACGTTGTATTTTCATGTATTTCATTGTACTCATTGTCTTTTTTTTCATTGTAATTCAATGTATCTCGTTGTATTCCGTGTATTTCATTGTATTCACTGTCTTTTTTTCATTGTATTTCAATGTATCCCGTTGTATTTTATATATTAATATATTTTTTTAATTAATATAATTTATGTATTCAGATGTATTATATAATTTCTCTGAAAATTGCTATGTTTTTGGGATTTTTCCAGTTGAGAATCTTTTTTATAACCGAAAATACAAATTTTGTGTGTTATAATTGAGTTTGTTGAGTTGTAATAGGAGTCTATTATGTTAATTGATACACTTTCCGTTTAAAAACAGTGTAATCCCTTGTTTCACACCGTGAATACAGTCGAATACAGTAATTTGTCCAGCTGTAATCCCATGTTTCACGCCATGAATACAGTCGAATACATTCGAATACAACAACTGATTAGCTGGACTTTCCTGATTCACGCCTATTTTTGCTACTGTATTCATGAATACAGTAGCTTAAATACATCAAATACATCATATAACCACAGAAAAGATATTTATAACCCGTAACATAGCAAATTGTATCTATAGATGACTAATTACTACTAAAAGATAGTGTTTTATGAAAATTTCTCAAAAATCTTTGGTAGGGAGCGTCCTCCCTCCCCCGAATGGACCCTACCGACGTGAATTCTGATATAGTCGGGCTCCAATTTAGGTACCGTACACCGAGTGGAAACCAAAAAAAAAAAAATTATAGGCAGCTTAGGGACACAAAACATTAGAGACGTGGCTCATTGTAAAATCCTATACGTGGATGTTGTATGTAACGCCATCCCAATGTCCCAACTATAAATACTCTCACCTTCCTTTCTGTCTCTTTCTCCAATCTAACAATTTAACTCTCCATTCAGTTAGCGGTCTATTTACTGAAAACTTAAAGAGCATAAACCCATAAAACCAAACTTAAATCACATATTTCATTTTATGTTTTTTGGGGTTCAAGATATAGTCTTATATACATAACAAACATTGGAGTATAAAGGGGATTAATTGAGGGAAGATGGGTCAGGCATTTCGTCGAGCAACTGGAAGGATCGGAAGTTCTAATGTCGATGCGGCATCGTCTCAACTGAAGAAACCCATCGACCGGAGACCCCCGCTCGCGGCGGCGGCGATTAAGACCCCTTCCAATAATGTTGCTCCAGTTGCCGGTATGCCCTTTCTGTTTCTACCTCTACAATATCAGTTCATTTATTTCAATTTTTCTTTTTTGTAATCGTGGAATTTGGGTCTTATTCATGCTGCAGGTAGCTTCAACTTTTTTATATTATATGCATAATTACTTACTCTGTACAAAAAGATTGGTAGTTTCTAAATAAAATTTGCACTTCAAAATTTTAGGGAGGGAGGAAGCATGTACCAGGTGGAATTAGGTTGAGGTGCGCGCAAGCTGACATCACCATTATCAAAAAAATTGAGGGAAAACATGAGTGATTTGAGAAAACAGTAGTGGCTAGTGAGTGACCTTTTTAATCAATTTCACCACTACAAGTACGCCTCAGTCCCAAGTTAGTTGGGGTCAGCTATATGAGCCCTCACTATTTTTTTGGTTCCATTTGGACCGGTTTCATTTCTCATCATAAGTTGAGCAGCTTTATGCTGGCCATTGACCTACCGCAAGTTTATGAAACATTAGAATAAGAAGGAAATTTAGGTTAGTTAATGTGTGGTTGTCCCTCAATTTTAGTTTCAATTAGAAGGGAGTCTGCAAAAACTGATTTGTTTGTTGCATGAATTGTTAATCATAGGTTTTGAGTTAAACTACCAATTTGAATGTGAGAATGAGATACGGAAAGAATATGGAGGTGGGATGAGGAAAATGTTTCTCATTACGGAAGCAAATGTTTTGTCGAGGTCTTTTGCTCATTTTGTTCATTCAGTTGTAATTTCCTTAAGAATATAATTAGAGCATCATTATTTATAAATCTATCAACTATGCATCTATACCAAACTAGCTGGGTTCATTTTTATGAACCTTCAGTATCAATTTCAGAGGAGTATTCATAATTTGACTGCAAACTTAACTGCAAGCTTCTTCATTTTTCTGGCTTGGAACGTGCAAAGCTCAATAAGTTAGTTATAATTAGAGCTTGATTCATTTAATTAAATAAGCCTGCTCACTAGGATAGTAGAACTGTTACGTAGCTAGAATGGTGAATGGTACTTTGGCATGCATGTGTACACAAGAGCAGAGGTCAATTATACCAAGTCGCTGTGTGAGCAGTTGGAATATGTTTATGTTAGTTTTTATGCTTTTGAGTAATCTGTCAATGCAAGTTTGAGAACAACGTAAGGCCAGCATTTGGTTTTTGTCCAGATAATTTGCTCATGTTAAAAGATAACTTTCAGTAAGAAACAGATCTCTAATCCACGGGAAAAAGAAGAAGATACGAAACAGATCTTTAATCCTATCCATCTTTTTGATATTTAGCATTGCGGAGAAAATTGAAAGTGTATCTTGCGTATCCCCTCAAAATATGAATTGATATGAATCCAGCTTATTGCAAAATTAAGTTTGAGTCTCCATCAGCGAAATGGGCCTATAAGATTGAGATAAAATGTGTTCTAATCACAGTGCACGACAAATTGTGAGTTTTGAATTAAACATTGATTTTATCCATTTAGGTGCCTTTTTGCTGCAAGAACTGTAAATGTCTTCACTTGTTTACTTTTCTATCTGTCTAGGAAAAAAATTAGCTTCGAATAATGTCTTCCAGGAGTGTTTGCTGGATAACAAAAATTACTGATTTGATAACTGGTGATTTGTTTTTGCTTCTTTAGATAGCAGCCCAAAGGATGCTGTTGGAAAAACCCTTGAAGAGAGAGATCCTAAGTTTGATGCAATGCTTGGTCAAATGGTTGGTAGAATTCGAGCTAAGCCTGGTGGGAAGCTAGAGATGGGTGAGGTGAGTTTCAATTGTTAACTCATTTCTTTGCACATTAATTTAAAGAATGAACGTGTGCCCTGTACCCTATTGACTCTGCAACTTTTGACACACCCACAGAATTATTGCATAAAGCTTTGGTTCATGTGTCTAATTTCTCAAGTGCGACATTTTTTCTTGAAAAAGAGGAAGGATGAGTGTGATTTAGAGGGGCCCATCTTGTCTTCCCTCGTAGGAAGTATATTCTAAATTTTCTTGTGCCATTTGGTAGGATAGCGCAAAAAGTCAACACAAAGTATGGAGGAAATATGTTTCTTCGTATTGTCCTAGTTTACCTAAATTTGGTCTATACCTTTCTCAGCCTTTTGCTAAGATAAAGTCAGTACCTAAAGTTGTTCTGTATGCTCCTTTTCCCCCCCAGCACCCGTCTAAATATCAAGGGTTTTAAAAGCTCGCATGCAATCTCCATACTTTTACTTCCTTTCCAACTCTCACATCTTATGTGTAAGCAAGGTGTAGCGTGAACTCTATGTGCTAACTCCTCTATGCTTTCAGTCAATTCTTTCCTTTTACTTTTTTTTTTTTTGGCCGAAAGGGGTAAGACAATGATATGATCACATGATCTATTTCAGGCATGGAGAATTCAACCTGTGTTAATCTGATGAAAAATGACAATCCTATAAAAATCTTTTTAAGTCTACGCTGTTTAAGTTTGTACATTGATTATGATCACCATGACTGCTCTCTTACATACTCCTATTTGTCATTTTTTAGATAATGGTCAATCTTCTGAGAAAATTTTATCATTTTTGTAGTTAAACCACCTCTATTATTAGTTTAATCTTGGCAGTTGATACTAGTGCAACTTTTTTTTTCTGTTACACCGAACTCTCAAGCGATTTTTTCTTGGGTGCAAATGAAATTAAGATCTCGTGTTATTCAACAATTAATTTGTGCTACATGATTAAATCCTTCAGTTGAAATGGAGTCTAACTTAGTGATAGTTGCAAGAATACATGTATCAGGTTACTAAGTTGTTAATGCCTGGCTACTGTGACAGGCATCAGTGGTGGAGAAGTATGATAGAGCTTTACCTAAGCTAAGGAATACAACATCAGAGTCTAGCAGATACGAGGAAAGGCCTGCTCCTCCAGGTACGTTGAATGTGGCACAAATAAGAGAAATTATACTCCTGCATCAAGGCAGAGCTGACGATCATAAAGGGCCCATGGATATCAACCAAATTGCTCAGCGGTTTCGAGTTGATGCCACGCAGGTTCAGAGGATTCTGCAGTTTGTATCATTGCCTCCGGAGGACACAAGTAAAAAGAGGAGCATTTGAGATGTCTATCATATTTTTTAGCCAGTGATGGATAGTTCAAAGTAATGAGAGAGTTGCCACTTCCCCAGAGGTGGTTTCCATTATGCATCAATTTTATCACAATTTTGCAGCTGTAAGTTCTTCTGTTGTAATAATGACCTACAAGCATAAGCCTGGAGAATTATGAGTGCATTTGCCATGATAACTGTAGAAATTGATCCTAATGATATTTATTGTACCAGAAGAGGACCCTTTTGTTCTTCACATTCGAGATGCTTAATTTTGCAGTCAGCTCGATGAAATTGCTTTGGTCTTGCAAATATCTAACTAAACGTTCTTGCAGTCAGCTTAATCAATTGATGTGGGGCTTTACCAAAATCAATACACTTGTGCTTTGTAATTGAAGCACAATATGCATTTGATATGTCACGCAACGGATCCTCCAGTTATAGCGTATGCAACAAGACAAATTGGTTTCTACAAAACGTTACTGCAGTCCAATGAACGTGGAAAATAAACAGATTTGATTGGTAATGCAATCTTGAGTGGAACAGTTAAGATACAAACAGGAAAAAAGAAAAGCTAAAAAAAAATCAAGAGCTTACATGAAACCTCTGATATTGCCAAAGACACAAAGAAGCGTGATCACTATAGAAAGGAGCTGAGTGTCTTGTAGAGACAAGATAACGCCATCCAACCGAATGAAACCTATAACATTCCCTTTTGTTACAAGAACTGTAAATTATGCCCTGAAACTAGTTGGTCTATTTGAACAATATAAACACTGCCCCATTTTTCACTTCTGTTGGGGCTTCTTAAGATACATGGAGAAAAAGAATGACCCAAAAACCAACAAAAACTCAAAATTATCGCCACTATCGAGGAGGAAGTAAGAAAAGAGCTATGCAGCTTCAGATCAATATGGACTCCAACCAGTCTGACGTATATTCATAAGCAACAAATGTTACAGCACCAGCAGGTGCAGCTTTAACAATTGAGGGGACGATCCCTTTGTAAAGTCCAGCCCAACCTTCCTCAAGCAAGATCCTACGCAAGCCATCGTACATATTCCTGTAGGCACGAGGCTCAAGTCGAGCTCCATATCTTGGATGCCTCTGTAGTCCTTCGATCTGCAAGATATATGGTTTCAACATTTAATTATTGTCACAAGCAATAAACATTCACTACATATGATTTCCTTCCTCATCTTTTTCCTTTTAACAATGTTAAAGGACACAAAAAGAGATTGATCACAGATAACAAGAGACAGATAAATGATTTGGCCCGAGTTTAATATGGCAATCGATTTACTAGATTGCACACATCTGCATTTGAAGATAATTACTTTTGTCATATTTATGAAAAGGTTCCAGAGTGCAGAAATAGTAAGAGTGTAAGTTAAATTTAAACAATTGATACCAAAGGGTTCCTTAATGAAAAGGTTCCTTAATGTATTGTTGTTACTATTGTTTGCTACTTGTTGCCTTATCTCCATTGTGCCTTGAGCCGAGGGCCTATCGGAAACAGTCTCCCTATCTTTATAAGATAGGGTAAGGTCTGCGTACACACTACCCTTCCCAGACCCCTGGGTTCGTTGTTGTTGTGATTTTTTTATACCAAAGGGGAAAAAGAATTGATCACAGAAAAAAGAAGCCGGATTAGAGAATGAACTGAATGAAGCAGAAGAGGAGGCGTCTATCTTGCATACAATACTTTTTGATAACCAATCTTGCATACAAATACTAGAGGTCCAAGTTCAACAGCTAGCTAAGAGGAGGCTTATCTTGCATAGAATTCCAGACGTCCCAAGTTCAATAGCTAGATAACGGTCCCAAAAGTTGCCAAAGACAATTTGAAAAGGTTTTTATAGAAAGATTCTAAATTTACGACAACTGGCTTGAAGAAAGAAATTTGAAGGAACTGGATCTTCTCCTGGTATCCAAAATTCCAGCCAGTTTATGACAGGCATTTGGACTTGAAACAGGTTTTGTTGGTTTCTTTTGATGAAGAGGTTTTGTTGGTTTCTTTGAAAACAATATATTCTGGAACAATTAATTCTAACAGTTGAATAGCAGAAAAAAATTAACTGAACTAATAAAAGATTTTTGTCTGCTCCAACACGTACTTGCAAGTAGCTGAAAGCTTCTTTTTTATTATTATTATTATTTTGAAGCAACGGTCAGAAAAATAAAAGATGGTTTAAACCAGGGCCTTTGTTTTTTGTTTTTGGACAACCACCCTTTGTTTTTTTTTTTTGTCCTTTTTCCTGGAAACCAGACACTACTTCAGCAGAACAAAAACAATCATTGTTTGGTTTAAAAGGGGAAAACAACAGGGTATTTTCCTCGTTTTAGTTAGACACCAAAAAAGCACAGAAGCCTACTTCGGGATAAAAGCAAACCGGTATAGGCTGTCCTTAAAACGGCAGTAACCCTAAGTTTTTCCTGTGTTCGGATTAAATGAAAAAAGAGAATCAATGAAAACCGAAATCTACCTGGAACCTCTTCTTAACAACATCGAGAGGATGACAAACAGCTTTTGCACATGTCCCAGCAGCTAAACCACAGATGAAAAGCTGGAAGCTTGACAGATGTTCATCACCATGGATCGCATTAGAAGATCTAAGATTCCAGGCCTACAAATGTCAATCCATATTGTGAGAGAGCAAAACTATTGTGAACAATTGCTACATTTAACCTTCTAATATGATTTCTTTTGAGCAAGAAATGGTTGTAAAAGAATATTCTGTGTACAACAAACAGGACGTTAGTAATCAAATGAAAGATAACTATTACGTGAAACTATGTGCATAAGCTTTTGACACATAACTACATGTCTCAGGAATCTCCAGAAAAGTGGAGTGAGTTTAGAAGGCCAAATTTTTTCAAGAAAAACAGAATTAGTGAAAAATGTAAAAACCACTAGGGATTAAAGTTCTTTGTCGAGTTAAATAATCTGAAAAGACATGGCTGAAAATAATCAGTCACCCTAATCATCAGATTCCTTTCTAGGTTTTTAGACCATCTGAAAATTCCTGGTTCTAGGTTTTTAGACCTTGTTGTGACGACTGACGACTAATGCACATATCCTCTCTCTGACCCCTTTAAGGAATTTGTTCATTCTTTCTGAACCAATCCACAGTTCTCGAAGTATCATTTCCAGAGCGGTATGACTAAAACTTGTGTAGTTGACTTTTCAAAGGTAATTGGATTTCAGTCAAATGTAATTTTAGATAGACATGCACGTCTAGACGAACTTAAACCTTCTACGTCATAATACTTTCCCTATACTTTATTGTTTCTTCTATCTTATCATGAAAAATATTGAAATCTAGCATTAAATGTTTCTTCTATCTTATCATGAAAAATATTGAAATCTAGCATTAAATGTTTCTTCTATCTTATCATGAAAAATATTGAAATCTAGCATTAAATAGCTTTGACCTAAACCCAGCTTGACTTTTGGACATCAAATCTTGAAAAAAATTCAAGACATAGTACCTCTTGTGCATTTAGTATTACAGATAGAAACATATTCTCATAATTTTACAGCTTATGCACATAAATGACCTCTATGAATTTTGAACAGGTGTCTCCAACAGAGCAGTATACAGTGTACACCCACTTCAATCCTGTATTGCCCAAGCAATTGTGAACAGTATCAAATATGGCAAGTGAGAGACTCCATGAATTTTTTTAGAAGAGGGTAAGAGGTTTACCATCAACCAGCGTTTGAATGTATCATACGTTCCAAATTGCAGACCAGCATAAGGAATAATCTCAACAAGAGTAGGTGTCAATCCAGAATACAGTCCTCGAATGCCACGAGTCCTGAATATATCAACAAATGCAGCCCTCATGTTTGGATAAACCTGTGCGTGAGCATAACACATAAGCTCCACAAAGCCTAGGAAAGATGAAGGCAGAAACAGTGTCATACTGTACTCCAACTGAATTAGAGAGTGTATAGCAAATCTCACATGACTTTTTCATTCTAAAAAATCACTAACATGAATTTCTGATCATTGTTTTTTTCATCTATCATCTACATATGCAGTTCTGGCAGACCCATTAACTTGAATCAGATGATGAATAAACAAGAATTTCCCCAACCAACCATTGCCTTAGTGCAGATTCAATACTTACTTCAGGTAGGACAAAGACCATGTTAATTTGTAATCAGTAGGCTCGAATCATTACAATGAGCCTACGGGAGAAGAATGAAGACAATGACACTGCATTCTTTTAAAATTTAAGTAGTTATTGCATAACCGATTCTGTATGCTCAATCGTCCAATATCAGTGTATTCGCATAATTGTATCAAAAGCATTCAGATGGAAAGTAACTTTTTGCAGTTTCTCCCACATGCATCACTTAACACCCGAGGACCCTAGATGTAAAATCGACACTAACCTACCACAACTAGATTTTCATTTGCTTGTTTCTCTGAAATGATAGTACCAATGAATCAACCAACTACGTCTATGTATAATTTTAGTAAAAACACTACATATAACTAAAGGTGAAGCTGAGTTTGTTAAGCTTATCCCTTTCTTAGTTTGTCCAATTTACCCAACACAAAAATGATTTGAATAGCAAGAGGCCTGGTTCCACATGTATGTACACAGTTTGCATCACATGCAAAAAAGGTTATATTATATTCAAATGTCATAGATAAGTGCCACGTACCTTTGGCTCTCCTTGAGAAGCTAAAATGGTTCTCAAGAGATCAAACGGATAAGAACCAACAGTAGCTGCACAGCCTGCTAATGCTCCACTGATATAAGAAAGATAAGGGCTCAAGTTAACGTGATCCTCTGCATCATAAAAAACAATCAATCCATCAGATGTTGACGCTTGCTTGAGGGAAGCACAAAATAGTGTTACTCAAAGGCATCTTTGACCAGCTAATATGTAAATCAGATTTCTGGACTGAACTTACACCCGATATAATTCGTCTGTAGTCAGATGCTAGAAGCACATAAGGTGCAAAAGTTGTACAGCTTGTAACATATGAGAAAGGGGGAAACTGAAGCATAAAATTTAACAAATCTACCCAAGCAGGTCAAATTATGATACAGACCTGACTTTGAAGAGCCACTAGCAAAAGTTTTCAATTTGTGTAACACTGCAAACTGTATGGCAGTATATGGCATAACCATCAGTAAAGCAGGAACGTTACCCCGCCAAAATCCCTGTCATGTGAGCAAGGAAAAAAGAATAAATTTGAGAATATGCATCATTGTAAAAGATACCATCGTCAAATCATTAAGACATCAGTAATACTAACAAGTAGAATTGCTCTTACAGCTCCTCCCCAAATACAAACAACAACATTATGGCAGGCCGGTGCACAAGGCATCCTGCGTGAACGCAGGGTCCGGGGAACGGGGAAGGGCCGCACCCTAAGGGGTGTGATGTAGATAGCCTAACCTAATGCAAGCAGTAGTGATTGCTTTCACGGTTGAACCCGTGACCTATAGGTCACACGGAGACAACTTAAATATAAGAAAAGTAGCATAGTTGTTGGACACCCAAACATCAAAAGTTAACCATCTTCAGAGGCAAACATGGATTAGCACTATAAACATAGAACATGGACAGAACAGAAACAGTTAATGCCACCGGTGATTCTTTTCTTTTCTTTTTTGAATTTAGTGCGAGTTTGCTTTTATGTCCTTAAATTGCGAAACGTAGAATTGTTAAGGAAGGACGGAGCTGCACGCTTGACCTAAAAATTAAACAAACAGCCATGTCACACCATTACTTTCACGGCCTTTACTAACACCACAAAAGTTTCATCAACTGAGGAGAAAAAATGACATGAGCAACATGTATTGTACTTTCGAGGATATAAGATGTGAAAAGGAATTTTCAAAAGAAGTCATACAGTGCATGGATATTGTTTATTTAAGAACAAATATTTTTCAGGCGACAAAAAGAGTATATATTCACTTTATTTGAATGCACGATAATTAATCTGACGAAGCATAATTAGCAAAACAAATGCACACCAATGTCAAGTGTCAAAAACTTTGGGATTGCTACATGCATCAAATAATTTTCCAGAATCCTAAAAGTCCCCAATATGAAAGGACCCTATACCGGAAAACCTTCTTCTCTGAGTATGTCTTTACTGGCTTGCAGCATCCCCGTATATTTTGAATTGCCATATACAGCTCTTGTTGTAAGCAAGGCCCAGTGGGTTGTGGGTTCCAGTTGAACCTGTAAAAAGGTTAGAATATATCAAAAACATCATCTCTTGATGTATAATCATACTTGATATACAGAGAAAAAGCAAGACAATTTTTTATGTTAACCCAATAAAGAGGTTTGATGAAGATTGTGAGAATTAAAGATATGGGAAGAAAGAAATTCCTTTTTACTGTATCTACATTGTGTCTTACATTATCCCTATTTATATAGGGCGTGTACACATACCTAAAGCCTTCTCTGTCAATGTGGGAACTATACAAACAACATACACTATACATGAACTAACTCTAACAAAGATGAAGCAGCAAAGAAAAACTGTCAAAGGAGCACGAGAAAGCTGGATTCAGCGCCGTAAAGACTGCAGCACTAACTATCCGTTTACGGTGGAAATGTGTGGAAGAATTTGATTTTGAGAGAGCGAGAGTTTTATCAATTAATTGAGGGTTTCACTGCTTAACAAGTGAAACGTTTGAGTGAGACGCATGAATGCAAAATCATCAAAGGGCAAGAAAAAAGATTCACAAAATGACCATGCCAAGGCCGCGAAAAGAAGGTTATTTCTGCAATCACACATATTTCTGAAGTAAAGAAACTAAAGTTTGCAAAGTTAAAGTGACTGTTCTTCATGCCTTTAGGAGAAGTCAAAGCATCACAAACAAGGATAACAGTCATTCATCCCATCCTTAATAGGACTGGACTAACTTCGGGCACATCGTAGTCCCTTTCATGGAGCATGAAGAGTAAATCTACAGGACTAGAGTTGATGAGTAAACCAAATATATAACTATTTGCCCTCCTAGAATTTTATTTTAACAATGAATATAGACAAAAGCACTTACTCTTTGTTCTTAAAAATAAATATCCAATTAATAACAAAATAAGAACAATCATTCAGCCTTTATCACTGTTGGTCATTAATCATAAAACTGATTATTCAATCAGGCAATACTATGTTATGACCAATATTTGTATAAAATGCAAAGCACAATAGCAACAACAACTGCTACTACTACTGTACCTCACTACTCACTACTCACTACAGATACAAAAATGTGTTACCTGGAATCTGATTTTAATAACATCAAGAGGCGACGTCACAGTCCTAGATATACCGCCAGAAATTGCACCAGCCGTAGCATCTATAAAAGCTCGTTTAAGCTGCCCTGTTTCTTCCATCTCCCCTAATAACCACAACAACTATCTGCAATTCCAAAAATAACCACTCCTTGTGTTAAAACTTCAAAAATAAATCCTCAATTAGGTCCACTGAAACCCCAAAAGTTTCTAACTTTAATATTAGAAAAAACCTCATTTAGATCAACTGAAACCCCAAAAGCCAAGAAAACTAAAGACAGGTTCACATATAGAAACATGGGTCAATTTACATATTCTATAACATCCACAAAAATCTGAAAAATAACATAGAAAAAGAACTAGGAATAGGGTTAAAAAATACATTCTAATTAAAAAGGAATCTCTAAATAAGAAAACACCTAATTTGCCTTAAAAAGAGAAACTATTTAGTAAAGGAATCAAATGGGTCTGAACATATATGAAATTATAATTGAAAAGAGCATTAAAAACGGAAACTTTTATATCAAAGAACAAGAAATAATTAATACCTGAGAGTAAAGTAGGAGAGGAAGAGAAGAGTCATCATTGACAATTTCAAGAGCTCAAATTCAAAAAAGGTATTATATAATGCAATTTCAGAGTAATATTATATCCAGAAATCCGCGAAAGTGGAAAGAGGGAAATAGCAATATGGGGCAAACGGCGACCCGGGAAACTTCTTGGATGGCGGCGGAAGAAGTTTTCCCGGGGGGTGGCGGAAGCGGTGGGTAGGGAGGGCTAAAAGGCTAAAAGTTGGATTTAATGGCCTGTGATGTTTAGATGAAAAAGGAAAGAAAAAAAAGCGAGGGAGAGGAGAACAAAAGACTCTTCTTTTTTACTTTTTTTTCTGGGAACTTTGTTTCTCTATTTTCCTTTTTTCTTTTTCTTTTTTTGAGTGGAGTGACCTTTTTTCTTTTTTTCTTCCAAAGAGTGGTAACCGTTTAATAAAGGAAAAGATGATTGTGAAATTTTAACATTACATTTCAGCTGGTTTGGTTCGTAGACAAAAAATATCGAAATTATAATGTAAATTTTATAATTCTAAGGGCCGTTTGGTCATAGATTTTGCCAAAATATATTTGGATTTTTTTTTAGCAAATACATATTTGTTCATAAATTTTATCCATATTTTGGCAAATTCCCAAAACCCAAAACCCAAATCTCAAAACAAGCTCAAAACTATTATATTTTTAAAAAAATTGTCCCAAACTTTTGTATTTTATAAAAGAGTCCACCATTTATTATTTTGTAATAATAATATTTCGTCTTCTCGGTCATTTGATAGTGTATTATGTATTTTATTATAAAAATGATAATTTTGTACCAAATTTATTTATGTTCAGGACTATGGTATGCGATAATATAATGAATGTTATTGATGAAGGTATTGTTGGGTATTTGTAATAGTTTTTAGAACTTGTGGGTATAAGATATGTCTTATGTTTTTTCAAAAAAAAAGTGAAATATATTTTGAAGACCGATGTCCCATCACTTTTTCATCTTCAAACCAAACTTCATCCAAATCAGATTTTTCAAAACAAATTTGGAAATCTATGCTCAAACGCTAGCTAAGACTATAATTTCTAAATTAATAAATTTAACTTCATTTTAGTAGTCCTGGTCCTGGTACTGGTCCTAGCTATATATTTTACTACATTGTGATTTGTGATCTGATCTAGTAGAGTGCTGTCCCCACTCATTCGCATGGGTTCATTCCCTCTCTATTTGAAAGTTCTTATCTCTTATTATATTTCTTATAGCTAGAACTATTAAGCATATACTACCTGAGCGAATTATTGAGAAATAAAATATATTACATAATTATGGAAAATAGATATTTAATTTTAAGTTGAGTAAAGTTTTCTTTACAAATTTATCCTAATTTTAAAAGTAGATAAGAAAAATGAAGGTAGTGAAGGAATATTTTGGTGTTTTAGTTTTAGGTGATCTATCTAAAGGATTGCCAATTTCGATGTTAGAGTTTCATGTTCAATCATGTAAAAAATACTTTTATAATTGTAGTATAAAGTAATCTTAGCAATACGAAAAGTGAAAAATCTAACTAAATATTAAAAGGTAATCTCAAATTCTATGACGGAATTAGTTTTCTAATTTCAATAATCAAACAACCCTTATAAGTGACTTTTGGACGACTTCTTAGAATAAGTTTTGCATGAGGAGAAAAAGGAACAATTTTTGGACGAAACGTTTTCTCCAAAGCTCGTATGTTTGAATAACATTTTTTTAGGGAAATTTTGACATTTAATAGTCATCTTTTGACCTCTAATGATCATTTTTGTACTTTCAGCTGTATTTTCGAATTTGAAAAACAGTCCAAAACACAATATTGCCAAAAAAAGGTGTAAGATTATTTTTAATCAAATTGGGTAAGATGAAATTGCAATTATATGTACTGTAACTCCTAAGAAAACAATTAAAATTGGTCCTTTAGATATGCATTACTGTTACGATAAATATCACATTATGGTGGATGTCTACTCTTCTTCCATGATCTTCATCTCAAATGCTTAATGATATATTCAATGACATATTTTGTATGTTCAATGACATATTCCATGACATATTTTCTTCACCTTTTATGCCTATATAAAGGCCTTGTAATAGATAGGAAAATACACACTATTGAAGAAGAAATAAGAATCTCTCTTCCTCTCTTTCTATCTATATCTCTTAGTTTGTTTTGCTTGTTCTATATTGTTATTTTGGGTTATATTTTATAACACGTTATCAGCACGAGGCTCTACCATCTCAAGAAGATCTTTGAGAAAATTAAGGTATAATTTTTCTCAAATTTGTATTTTTTTTAAATGTCTGATATTATGAAAAGAAAGTTCGTTGCCCTTGAAATTTCGGGCAAGAACTATATGACATGGGTATTGGATGCTGAAATCCATTTAGATGCAATGGGTCTTGGAGACGCCATTAAAGATAAAGATAAAGCATCTACACAAGACTGTGCTAAGGCCTTGATTTTCTTGCGCCATCACCTTGATGAAGGGTTGAAAATTGAATATCTCACAGTGAAAGATCCATTTGTTTTGTGGAATGGTTTAAAGGAAAGATATGACAACTTAAAGTTGGTCACTCTTCCACAAGCACGATATGATTGGGCTCATCTTAGGCTCCAAGACTTTAAGTCTGTTTCTGAATATAATTCTGCTATGTTTAGAATTACTTCCAAATTGAAACTCTGTGGAGATAATATCAGTGACTATGATATGCTTGAAAAAACGTTTACAACGTTTCATGCCTCCAATATGGTCTTACAACAGCAGTACCGAGAGAAAGGCTTCACAAAGTACTCTCAGTTGATTTCTCTTCTACTTGTGGCTAAACGAAACAATGAATTGCTTATGAGAAATCATGAAAATCGACCCACTGGGTCTACACCATTGCCTAAAGAGGATGAGGTGTATTCCCATTATACTAATCGTGGAAAAGGTCGTGGCCATATTCGTGGTCGCGGTCGCGGTCGTGGTCATGTCCAAGGAAGAAATTTTCCTGGTGTTAATCATCCTCCACCGAAAAATAACTTCCAAAAATGAAAAGGTAAAGATGAGAAGCGAAATGCAGAGGGTTCAGAAACTAAATGCTATCGTTGCGGTGGAAAAGGGCATTGGGCAAAAATTTGTCGCATACCAAAACATTTGGTTGAGCTTTATCAAGCATCTCTGAAGAATAAAGGCTCTGAAGCCAATCTTGTCTATGATAATGAATTTGACATCACCCACTTGGATGTGGCAGATTTTTTTGAGCACCCTGATGAAAAAATAAACCACTTGATCGGTGATGGATCTGTGGTTAGAGATGATTGAGCAATTTAATTTTTATGCTTTTCTATTCGTAGTATGTAATGAATAAACATCTCGTAATTTTTATTGCACTCTATAATTCTTCTTATGTAGTTCTTAAGAATATTTTTATTTCCGAAATTTTATAAATTTCACAAACAATGAGTAATATCCTATTAATTAGTATTCTAGTCTCAGTGATCTTTTAACGATTTTAACTTTCCTATACATTGCTTTAATTCTCTTTAAGAAAAGGTTTACAAGCACCCTGGAACAACTTTTGTTACTTCACCCTCAATTTTTTTTATGAGTATGTTCTTTTCTTACACGGATCAATTATGTTTCATACAATGTGTAGGAAAATGCAAATAATTTATACTTGTAAATAAATTTGTTGTAGTTGTATTAGTCATATGTGTACTTGTATTATTTTTTGCGTAATTATTTGTATAATAATTAGAATTTGCCAGAAAATGCATTAAAGGCTACTATTGAATTATTGGTTTAACTTTATTTCTTTTCCATTTTTCTCTAAAAATACTAATATTTATTCATATACTTCTTTTGTATGTCAAACTATGGGAAGCAAATATGGATATCTTTCAAAGCAAACTTGGATCAAAGTTCAATTATAAAAATATTTGCTTAATTGATTCATGTACGACACATACAATATTCAAAGAGAAGAAATATTTCTCTCATTTAAGTATGTGTAAGGCAGATATTACTACAATTTCTGGTAGTAGTAATCTAATTGAAGGCTCTGGAAGAGCTACTATAACTCTGCCTATGGGAACAATAATTATCATTGAGAATGCAATGTTCTCCTCCAAGTCCAAGAGGAACTTGTTGAGTTTTAAAGATATCCGCAAAAATGGATTTCATATTGAGACAATAGATGAGAATAATATGGAATATCTCATCGTTACCAAGAATGTCTCTGGCCAGAAAAGAATTATTGAGAAGTTCCCATCTTTATCTTGTGGCCTGTATTGGACAAAAATTAGTGCAATTGAGGCACATTCTACCTTAAACCAAAAGGTTACTGCTTACAATACTTTTGTACTTTGGCATGATCGATTGGGCCATCCTGGATCAATTATGATGAGACGAATCATAGAAAACTCAAATGGGCATCCATTAAAGAATTTGAAAATTCTTTTAAATAATGAATTTTCTTGCACTTCTTGTTATCAAGGCAAGTTAATTATAAGACCATCACCAACAAAGGTTGGGATTGAGTCCCCTGCGTTTTTAGAACGTATACAAGGGGACATTTGTGGACCTATTCACCCACCTAGTGGGTCGTTTAGATATTTTATGGTCTTAATAGATGCATCCTCTAGATGGTCTCATGTATGCCTATTGTCATCTCGCAACCTCGCGTTTGCAAAATTAATGGCACAAATAATCCGATTACGGGCACAATTTCCCGATAATCCAATTAAGTCTATTAGACTTGATAATGCTGCTGAGTTTTCATCCCAAGCATTTAATGATTATTGCTTATCAATTGGGATAAAAGTGGAACATCCTGTAGCTCATGTTCACACTCAAAATGGCCTTGCAGAGTCTTTAATTAAACGTGTGCAATTGATAGCAAGACCGTTACTCATGAAAACGAAGTTGCCCACTTCTGTTTGGGGTCACGCCATTTTACATGCAACAATGCTAATTCGTCTCAGACCGACAAATTATCACAAATATTCCCCGTTGCAATTAGTTTTGGGTCATGAACCTAATATATCTCATCTAAGAATTTTTGGATGCGCTGTATATGTGCCTGTAGCACCCCCATATCGCACCAAGATGGGTCCCCAAAGAAGGTTAGGAATATATGTTGGGTTTGAATCACCCTCCATTATTCGTTACCTTGAAACATTAACGGGAGATTTGTTCACTGCTCGTTTTGCAGATTGTCGATTCGATGAGGCATTTTTCCCAAAATTAGGGGGAGAAATTAGTGAAACAAAACGTGAAATTTTGTGGAAAAATACATCATTGTCTCATCTTGATCCACGTGCATCTATT